GTCTTCTACTCTATACTACTTACCCTACAGGAATTGTTCAGAATCATTTGCATCAATCATATAAGACCCAGTTTAGGAACCCCAAAGAATTCTAACCAATACTAAAGGAAAACAAATCATATGGAGGGGCTGGAGGGATGAGACGGCTCCGTGGATAAAACCACTTGCTGCTCCTGTCGAGGCCCAGGTTCAGTCCCCAGAATCCACGTGATGGTTCACAACCATCTCTAACACCAGCACCAAGGATGTGATGCTGTCTTCTGACCTCCTTAGGAACCAAGCATGCACATGGTACACATACACTGATATAGACAAACACTCCTACACACAAAATGAATCTTTAAAAGGATATTTTTAAAGAAATCATAGGCTTTTTCTTTAAAAGGCTGAACTGTGTAATAATACATATTGATATTACTCAGAAATGCTGATAATTACACCTTTTAAAATTTCATTTTGTTTCAAATTTTGAAACAGAGTCTCCCTATGTTGTCTAGGCTGGTCTCCAATCCATGGGCTCAAGTGAGCTACCTGCCTCAACTTCCCTCCTAGCTGTGAGTACTGGGACTACAGCTGGGTGCCACACCTGACTAACAACTGGCTGGGTGTAGCTAAGTGGTATGGCATACCCAAGCATACATGAAGCTCTAGGCTTCATGTCCAGGATGGGGAAAAAGTAAGAAAGATGAAAATCAAAATGCATCTAACTATCCTGCCACATTGTCATAAGTCACTAAAGGAAACCAATAAGCACAGCTACAACTTATTAAAGATGTTTAAAAGAAAACGTCATGTTCAGAACTTCATATTTGAGGATTGAAAGAACAATCTTTCTAGTGCTGGGAGTTGTTAAACAGCCTAATACCTAAACACAGCTTAACGTACATATATTGGGGTAACTCATGTATTTTACAGTTTACAACTGTTTCTGCTTGTACTTTAAAGTGTGGTAATCTTTAGTATTTGCGGAAACAAGAACAGCAACTCACAATGTCCTTCTACTTTATCAGCATGATTCACTAAATACATTTTGATTTACCAATAACACAGAAATCATATAGCCCAAGGAGGTTTTGTTGTTGCTTTTGTGTTTAATAGCTATGTAAAAAAACATGTGTTTTAAATGTTAGTAATATACAAATAATTTCTAGGTAACTGTTAAGACTAAAAGTTACTATTGCCAGATTGCTGTGGGTAAGCATGACTTGAAAGATAATGTCCACACACAAATGCTAACTTGCAGAAGTTTAGAAATGACAAGGATATAGCAGGCAAAACAAAAGGGGAAGTAATCAGCCCAGCCGTTCTTAATATCTGACTTAAGTGGAAAGAGCCACAAGTTTAACTCAGCAAAGACTACAAAACACATGTTACTTCATGTCTCACAAATGACACCAACCGAGAGGCATGGCCAAGGCTACAGTACAAAGGGGCAATACCACACAAATGTGATATCCTGAGGAAGCCTAAATGAAGAGCAAAAACCCATCATAGTAGGGAAACATGCCAAAGTAAAGCAATTTTCAAACTGTTAGTATTAGCCCAAAATGTTAAACTTAAACCTCAGCATCCTGTCAGAGCACAGAAACGTTGGCCTAAAAATATCCTGAAATATTGCTTAATTTATTTAACTCAAAACTGAGCTTATTGGATATACTTTTAAATAAAGTACATTTTTAAATTTATTTGTGTGAGGAAGACACCAAAGTGTCAGAGGTTACCATAAAAGAGGGCCCTTTCCTCCCACTACATGGGTTCTGGGCATGGAACTCAGGTTGCCAGGCGTGGCAGGAAATGCCTTCCCAGATGAGCCACCGGACAGACCTGAAGAACACTTCTTCAGAGACGTCTCCCAGCTTTACACAGGAAAGAAGTAACAGCTACTCCACCATTACGTTCATGCTGAAGACAGATTCTGAAAATCTCTGCTTAATGGACAACTAAATTGTAACAGTTAGAAGGAAATTTACCAATCAATTTTAATTCAACTTTTATCCCAAAGCTAGATTCCAAAGGAAAGCATTTAACAACAGTTCCTTAGGAATTCACTGCAGGAGCCAGAGAGTTAAGTTTGGTTAAGAGATCTGACTGCTCCTGCAGAGGGTAACGCTTGGCTCCCAGCACCTACTGCAAGCAGTTCACAACCAACTGAAACGCCAGTTCCAGTGGATCCCACTCCCGGCCTCAGCGGTCACCTGTGCACATGTGGTACACACAGACATAGACAAACACATACACACAATAAAATTTAAAAAGTTCAGTACATTAAAGACTCAATGTTGACTGCTGGAAATGACACAAATATGCTTAAATTTCATCTTCAAACAAAAATTCAATAGGATGTCCCAAGGACTTGGAGCTGTGAAGCAGAGTATCATACCATAAAAAGGAAGTTCTAAGACAAGAGCAGCAGCAGGGTAAATTCCTTCAGAAAACACTGTACATGGTGTCTGGGCTAAGCAAAGACAAGGACTCGATTTGGGTTCTGTCACAAAGAGAAGAAAGGAATCGCAGGCAACACAAAAGGGCTACATTTGGATGACCATTTCCTAGCGTGCTTCCTTGACAGTCTCCACTTGTAAGGCATGTGTTCGTGATATTCCTTCTCCAAACATCAACTTCTGCATATGTGCACTCCTTAATCTCTGCCTGGAGTGCCCTTCCCCCCAGGTATCTCTCTACAAGACTGCTTTTCTTACCACGCTCAATACTTGGCTTAAACATTACTTCTTGCTGAGAATGTAACTGGCTGCAGTATTTTAAATTGTCATGCTCACAGTCCCTACTTTGTCTTGATTTATTTTCCACATCATTTATTTCTATTAATACCTGTAATGTCATACAGGCTATTTTTTAGCCATGTCTACATCCTCCTACAAGCAGAAAGTGGATGTGTTTCTTCACTTACAGTGCCTACATGTGGCAGGCATGAAGTAAAAATTTGATGACAATGGAATAAATGAACAAAAAATAGAAAAATACAACCCCACAGGGGTTATAGTCTAGTGCAAGAAGCAAAGAAATAAATTACTTTCAACTATTTCTGAAAGACCATTTAGCACACGGTCGGGAAGATCCAATTTGTAGCAGCTGACAGAGAAACAGTTCTGGCACGTCACCTCTATATAATCCACGTCCCTTTAAATTCCGTCCAGCCCCACGCCGCCAGCAGCACTGTCACTCAGTGACCAAAAAAGTGCCACCACAGCTGCTTCAGCTGCACACCTTCTCCCACATTAGCTGTCACTGCTACCTAATAATGAAAGGTAAAAGACAAGTCTGCTTCCACTGCTGGCCAAAGCTGTATTTCTAGATTTCCAGGTTAAATTCATACTTCATATGATTTAAGTCTACCTATAGTAGTGATTACCGTGAAATTATGGATTTATCCAAGGGACCTATTATTCTGAATAGTGCTTAATACTTAAATTTATAATACTAGGGATTGAAGCCAGGACCTTGTGGATGTGAGAAACACTATCACTAGCCCACTTTTTACTTTTTATGTTGAGACAGGGTCTCACTAAATTGCACAGGCTGGTCTTGAACTCATAGCCTAGGTCTTGACCTTCCAATACTCCTGTCTCAGCTTCCTGAGTAGCTGGAATTACAGATCTTCATCACCAGGCAAGACGGATTACTACGTAAATGTGCAGATTTAAATGCAGAAAGAAAAACAAAACTCTTCAATGTGATCTCACTATTGGAACGTGCCTTTTCTACACAGCAAATGGACTCAACAAGGGCATTTTAGGCAATCAGGTAATGTCAAGCTAATGGCATTGTTTTCCTCAGAAGGAACAACTAGAATTTTATGTTGGACTCAAGAACGATCTAGACTTTTTAAGCAGCCCATTAGCGTTTAGTTATACTAACGATAAAAAACCACGCGGAAAGTAGAGCAAAGTGTTCTTTAGCGAAGCGACTTAAGGAAATGCAGCAGCTCTATTTCTCACTTCAGCCAACACCTCCACAGACTGCATTATCACTTCAGGCAAACTGACATTTTCACGTTTCATTTCTAATGGCAGGAATAATTTCCATCTGGGGCCATGCGCATAAAGTGTCGGTATTGGCATATTTTCAACACTAAATTCAAAGTCCATGTCTGGCTATACGCAAAACGTCCCCAAGACAGCTACAGAGCTCACCCTACAAATGACAGCTCAGAGCATGACCCAGTCTGAGTTTTGCCCTCAGGTAAGGCATAGGAACCTATCACCTCTCCTCCATCGTTTAGAAGTGATCTTCGTGACTTGAAAGTCTCTGCTCCTAGCAATATTAAACAATGTTCACAGTTCTAGAAGAGAACTTTCTCAGATGCTATTTCCTGTCAACCAAAACTCAGGGCAAATGCCCTTATGTTTTGGTTTAAAGAAGTAAAACCACACCAAGATGAAATCGTTAACTCCGAGATGCAGAGTCCCTTTCTGATGGGCCAACGACTTACGCTGCCAGTTAAGTCAAGAGTAGATTCAGACGGTAGGTTAAAACCCCAAAGGCAACGCCGATCGCAACCCCAGGTTCCCACTTAATTTCCTCAACAGTCACACGGGGGCTTGGGAGGCTTCCATATGGAAACACACTGCACACACTGGCCAGGGCGTGCGGCGAGCCAAAGTTGCTGAGCTCGCCGGGGGATTAGGGCGGACAGCACAGTGGCCCATCTGTCCCCGAGCGACAGAAAGCAATCCACCTGGCCAGGCTGGGAGACAAGGGAGTGGGACTGGGAGCGGCGCGGCCGCCGTGCTGGAGCGGAGGTGCCGGGCAGGTGGGCAGCGCCCCTCGCGGCGGACAAACCGCCTCGCCCACAGACGGCGAGCCGCCGGCGGGGAGTGGCAAGCGGCTCCCACTGCCCGAGGTGACAGGCGGGCCAGCGGTGCAGGAGTCGGACGCGGGGAGGGCCGCGGCGTCGCGAGGGTCGTTCGGAGGAAGCCGCTGGGCGCTGCCCTGCGCCGGCGCTCGCCCTCTCCCCGGGTCCACGGCAGGGGCATACTCACATAGGGCTGGTAGAACTTGGAGAGCCGCGGCTTCCCGTGGTTGTTGAAGATGAGGATGGCCTTGATCATGGCTGGGCCGGGCCGACCGGGTGGGCGCTGGGGCCAGGGCGGGGGCGGGCGTGCGAGCCTCGCCTCCGGGAGCTTTGCTGCCACTGCTTCCCCACCCGCCCCCTCTCGCACGCGCGCGCGCGCTCCCGCGCTGTGGGGCGGGGCCTGGAGGCGGGACCTGGGCGGGGCAGGCCGGAAGGAAACGGAAGCGTCCCGGGCCGGAGCCAACTTGCTGGAGGGAGGGGGCACGTACTCAACTGGTGGCGCGCGGAGCCGCGTCGTGGAACGTTCCGGAAGCTCGCTGCGACTAGATGACACTCAGAACTCTTTTAAATAATGTTTCCAACGGATCATCTAATGTACCGCTCTCCAGACACCCCAAAATTCACTGTTGTCCCGGGTCCCCCCACCCGGCGCCTGCTTTGCGACCCTCCGTGGAGCAAGGCCCAACCTCTGCACCGGGTACGTCACTTCCGCCATCCACTCTCGGCGAGCAAGATGGCGGAAGATCCCGAGGCTCTGCTGCAGCTCCCTCCTTCAGCGGCTGCAGCCGGCGGCGAGAGCCTTTCGGAGCTCTCCCCGGAAACTGCCACCCCAGAGCCCCCGTCTTCGGCCACAGTCTCCCCGGGGACGGAGGAGCCTCCCGGTGACACCAAGAAAAAAAGTAATGTCAACATCCATTTGTGTGCGGAGGCGGGAGATGTAATAGAATTTGTAAGGAAGGCGGCCCGTAAAGAAGCGAAAGCTAGAGAAGGGCGCGTCCCAGAGGTGCTCTTTCTCCTCTTGCCGGTGTTCGCGCCTTTGGGTGCCTACGTGATCCGGGTGATACCCGGATTCGCCATCCTTCGCACTTTTTACGGGGTCTTGGAGGTAGTCAGCCTTCGAGCAATTTGAAGCTGGGTTGCGAGTGAGATCTTGGTACTTCCGGGTAGAACAGAAGTTACTGAAATCAAAATGTAAGGTGACGGGCGACAAGTGGAGTACAGTCCACGAATTGTGACGAGTTTCGCTATTGGCTTCCCCCAATGTGGATATGAATGAAACAGTAATGGAATGAATTTAGATTCATTCTGTAGAACGAAAACCTGGAACTTGAGCTACTGTGAAGAATGCTAAGGGAAAACTCAAGGTATAGGTGCCACCTTTTAGTTAGCTATGTATTTGGGATGGGGGGTAAGCCTTTTTTTGTGCAATATTGAATATTTCTTTTACCTAGCTGTCCTCAGCCTCTGTATTGTCATATATGTTTGCCACTGGAAAGTAAGGAAATTGAGGTTAACTTGCCCTGAACACTGTAAAGTGAGATTTGACTATAAGAAAAATCAGCAAACTAACACGTATCGATGGAAAGGGTAGACCTTGTCCTTGATTGTTCTCCTTTCAGGGACATAAAATTTAGATCCGGGTATCTCTGCTGCTCCTTAATCTCACCAGCTTGTTTGTGCAGCACAGGAGAATTGTTTCCCAGCACTGCTCCTGGAGGAAATGCAGGTGTATGTCACTCAATAGTAAAACGGTACTAAAGGTCCAGGGGTTCAAGTCCCAGCTCATCTAGACAGAAAAAAAAAAAATGACCTTGCGGTTGGAGGAAATCTGCCATGAATATATATGCTGTACTTAGTATTTTGACAGATGACCAGTCAACCTGGAAAAAAAAAAAAGTCCTAATATTTTTTTCCTCCAGTTAGTTGTAGCAAGCTCACTTTCAAAGGTTTCCTTTAAGATGGAAGCACCGGGCCGAGAGTTGTGACATACACTCTTAATCCTAACATTCAGAAGCCTTTGACTAGCAAATCTCTGTATGGTCAAAGCCATCCCCGGGCCAGAAACAAACAAAAACACCTAGCCATCTCAGGCAAAGTTTTAGTCTTTCACACTGATGATTGCTATACCAAAATCAAAGAAAAACTAGAAAATGACCCATAATCCAAGATGATGCCTGAGGTGGCTGTGTTTGTTTGGGTCTCCATATTTCCTTTCTTTTTCTTCTCTCTCTCTCTCACTCTGACAAGTTGAATTCCTATTTTCATCCTTTTGTAGACAATTTCTTTATCAGATATTTCACATTTCCACTGTAATTTGCCAAAGAAAGATGGCATGTTCTTGACCCTGCTGGCACAGGCTTCCCGGGCTGAGCGTTTAAATACCAGTGCTAAGGTCCTACTTTGCAAAAGATTGTGATTTAATTGCTGTGTATATTAACTTCTCTGGTTGATTCTAATGTGTAGTCAGGGTTCAGAGCTACAAGCAAGTCATTTTGGGAACTAAGACTACAGCTGTAATTACTACATAATTACTATAAATTACTGTGTCTCCAGCTTCTTGCCCTCTGGCTCTTCTTTCTTCAGTAGTACATTTCAGTGCCTAATTGCTGCCGAGTTATTGATTGCTCCAGGGGTCGAGGGAACTGAGGAGGAAGGTATGAAAGATAGACTAACCAAAATCACCTTTATGCCTTCCCGACTCATCCTTATTCCCAAAAATAACTGAAAGGGCATTTACATAGTTCTTTTCTAGGAAGATGAGCTGCATCATATGTTCTAGATCCTGTGTTTCATTTCAGGAGGAGATGTGATCTCCTGGAACTCATTCTGTAGACCAGGCTGGCCTCAAACTCCCAGAGATCCATCTGCCTCAGCCTCCTAAGTGCTGGGATTAAAGACCTGCACCACCACACCTAGCTTCAGGAGGAAACTTGAATAAGTTGATCCCAACTTTGAATGCCAAACAAATGGGGCAAGAGTGTGGTAACAATTGGACAGTTCTGCTCTTGGGGCAGCTTTGGTTGTAGGTGTCTCTTAAGGGAAATAAACTTCATTCAGGAGATCAGTCTTTATTTGCATATCTGTGTGCTGTGGGATAATGTTTTAGCACACTGTAAATATTTGTTTAAAAATGCTGATTGGCCAGTAGCCAGGCAGGAAGTATAGGCCACTTACAAGTTCTAGGAAGATGAAAGGCAGAGACACAGTCACCAGCCAGACACAGAGTAAGCAAGATGAGAATGCCTTACTGAGAAAAGATACCGAGCAGTGTGGCTAAACTTAGACAAGAATTATGGGTTAACTTAAGTTGTAAGAGCTAGTTAATAATAAGCCTGAGCTGATAGTCCAGACAGTGTGTTTCTTTGGTACTGAACGGCTGTGGGACCAGGCGGGACAGAAACTTTCATCTACATCTGTGTTTTGAATCATTGAAATATTACTGCTTTCTTTGAAACTTTTTTGGGCCCCTGATTTTTTTTTTAATAGTGTGTAACACGAATAATAAAAACTCAGAGACAGATATTGGGGTTCAAGCTGAAGATCAGAAAAGCAAAGCAGCTAGCCACTTGGCTCTTACCCCTACCTCAGACCAAAAATGGGTGATCCTGCCTCCAGAAATTCTCAGATTGAGACAGCATGAGACCTGTCTCCTCCCGTTTTATATTCCTCTCTAGGGCTGAGATTAAAGTCATGCACCACCACTGCCCAGCCTCTATGACTAGCTAGTTTGGCTACTGGGATTAAAGGTGTGAGCCACCACTGCCTGGCCTGTATGGCTGACTAGTATGTCTGCTTTGCACTGATCTTCAAACAAGCTTTATTTATTAAAATACAAATAATATACCACTATAGTAATAGGGATTTTTTTTTCATTAAAAAGTTAAGTATAGGAAATTTAGTATTTACAAACAGCCATATGTCACTACTACGAAGTAACATTTTGATGCTATACTAATCTGAATATGTGTATGTGATTCTGAATGAAGTTGGGGTTGTATACACACGCTTTTCTATTTTGCACATTTTCTCAGCTTCTTAAACTATTAACTGCTTTTAAAATGTGTTCTTGAAGCCAGACTGTGGTGGCACACGCCTTTAATCCCAGTACTCAGGAGGCAGAGGCGGGAGGATCTCTCTGATTTCGAGGCCAGCCTGGTTTACAGAGCGAGTTCCAGGACAGGCTCCAAAGCTACAGAGAAACCCTGTCTCAAAAACCAAACTGTATTCTTGAACATCTCTTTATAAGCTTAAATTTCTATTAGTATAACTTATGGCCTGGGTACTGCTGTGAACGTGCATTAACTGACTTAGTCCTCATATCAGCCCTGTGAGGTAGGTGCTGTTACAGGGGTTTGAGAGTGAAAGAGTTTAGTGCTTGTAGCTCTACAAGAGACAGAGCCATAGTTTGGACCCAATTTGGAATGTGTGTCCTTTCTCTATAAATTCTGCCATAAAGCAGCTCATATTTTATTTAATCCTACCTACTTATATGTGTTGAATATGTAAATTTACTGCTTTTTCCCCCCTGTAAAAATAAATGTTTTGATAAAGGTGACATCCTTTTATTTGAATATAAATCTCAAGCTATTCTAGATTTTAAGTAATATATTATTGAGTCAAGGTGTATCTCCAAGTATCGGATATGTATTACCATATTGCTTTCCAGAAAGGCATGCCATGTTACAGTGGCGGCAGCAGCATTACCTACATTACCACCTTATTTTTACCACCAATTTTGTAGGTGAAAAATGGATGAGTTTTTTTTTTTTAACTTGGTTTGGGTATTATTTATATCATGGGCTAGATCGATTTATTATCTTTAGAGTTCTCTTGTGTCGAATGTGTCTTAAAGATTAATCTCATTAGAAAGAACTTTGTAGGATTAAGGGGGAAAATAGTAGAGAAGAGTCTAATATTTTGTATTTCCCACATAGCTCCAGAAAAGTAATTGTAGATAAAGTTTGTTTTCTGAACGGTTTCACATCACCTTCTCATCAGATGTTTCAAAACGATTTTTTTGAAGTTGACATCCTGCTGAAGGCTGTAGGAGATACCCCTATAATGAAAACAAAGAAATGGGCTGTGGAGCGAACCCGAACCATCCAAGGACTCATTGACTTCATCAAAAAGTTCCTTAAACTCGTGGCCTCGGAACAGTTGGTATGAATACAATAATGATTGTTTGCCTATAAAAATCCACAGTAGTTCCTAGGCAACCCTGAGTAACACGTGTACGTACAAAGTTACACGTTGCTTTTGTTCTATGGACTTTTGAGCAGATTCTTCCTTTGTTCTCGAACACGGTTGTTTTTATTGTTTACCTCTGGAGGTGGTTGCCATGTACATGCAGTGGTCGGAACAGTGCTTGGGAGTGGATTCTCCGTCCACCATGTTCCTGGAAATTATGTCAGGTCATCGGGCAGGAAGT